CAGCCGTTCCCCTCCTCGCGCGCCCACCCCGTGCCCCCAGCCCCATTCAGCCGTTCCCGGCCCTGAACCCTCCCCAGGGCACCACCAGCCCCTGGGGTGCCAGGAGCACTGTCACTTTCTGGGGCTGCAGACAGGCCTCAGAGACACTTAACAGCACAGAACCCGGCGCTGGATTTTCCCAGAAAAACTAGGAGGTTGCAGCAGGCACTGGGATGTCGAGGTATTTTGACTTCTAACATTTCTGGTATTTTTTTCCCACGAGGCTACTACGGCCCCCCGCATCCCGTCCACACGGCTGGCCCTGCACCACTTCGACGTGAACTACAGCCTGCAGCTGAAGGACCTGTGGCCCTCCGTGCGCGCCGGCCTGCTCTGCGAGCAGAAGTACGGTGCCCTCCTCAACAACTTCTCTCCCGTCGACCATGTTGCCCAAGAGCTGGAGCTGCTGAACGCCACCGATTTTGTTTCCGAAGCCCCCAAAAAGGCGCAGCGATCGCAGTGGGGTGCAGCTGCGGAGGAAGCGGGGAGAGGGGAAAGCAGGGCCCAGGAGGGATCTGGCGAGGGCAGGGCAGGGATGCAGGCAGAGACGACGACACAGGCGGAGATGTCACCGCCGCTCCGAGCCTCCATCAGCTCCAACATCAAGTGTTACACGTTCCCCAGGGGTGACATCACGCGCTTTCGCCCTGCACGGTGAGACATCGTGTCATTGCCAGCCTCGGAGGCTGCACGTGTGTGAGCACCCGCTGCTTCTGTGCACCCCCAGCCTCATTTCCAACTACTGTTTTCTTTTCCCCTCACGTATCTGCTTTTTTTACACATACTGGTGATTTCCAGGCCAGATGCTCTGGGACTCCTTGACTATTATCTCATGGATGCAGCTTCTCTCCTGCCCGTCCTGGCACTTAATGTGCAGCCAGATGACTTGGTCCTCGACCTGTGTGCGGCTCCGGGTGGCAAGACTCTGGCTCTGCTGCAGACTGGGGTTTGTGGTAAGTGGAGGTGTCCCCTTATGTAAAACCAGGCTGGAAGTGCTGTTTCTCGTTCCAAGAGCTGAGAATCAGGTGTGTTTTTGTAAGAGTGATGTTTCCAGTGTGCCTGTTTTGTCCTCTCAGGGCATCTAGCAGCCAACGACATCTCTATTTCCCGGACAAAGAGGCTGTACCACATTCTCCATAGCTATATTCCCAAAGAAATCAGGGAAACTGTGAGTGTCACGTCCTGCGATGGAAGGGACTGGGAGGAGCTGGAAGGTGGCACTTTCCACAAGGTAAGTGATTAGGCACCTGTGAAGATAAACCCATCGAGTTCACTTTCCTCCTGTTTCAGAGGAACACAGTGGCTTATCCTACAGCATAATCATATAGATTTCCATAATCTTAAGTGCAGAGAAAAAGAGAAGACTAAACTGCATATGGAGTAATATTTCCTCCTGCTATACTCTTCCTGCAGGATCTGATGCATATGGGCATCCAGATTTGTGCCTTTATTTACCTGTGTAATTCCCCTTAAAAATCCTATTCTAATCCATCACCTGGAAGGGGTTAAACATGAAGATTAGATAATTCTTGTTTCTCAGCTATGTCCAGCCGCAGGAGCTGGGTTTGTAACTCTGGGAGGCATCACTGCAGGATCTCTGGCCATGTGTGGCAGGAGCTGTAGGTGCTGCAGTAACGCCTGCTGGAGGGGCATGCAGAGCAGAAACGTTAAATGAGGACACACATGAGGGTGTGATGTTATCCGCTGCTGTGGTGTCTGTTTGCACGTCCCTGAGATGGAAAAGCAGCCAGACAAGTTACAGTTCAGTGTGGGTGCACGCCTGCGCTCGGGCAGCATTGGCTAGGCAAGGCACCTGGAGCTGCTCGCTGCGTGGCGAGGGTGGAGGAGCTGGGCAAGGGGCAGGATGCTCTAGGAGACTCGCTGAGCTTGACCTGGGCCCAGGACCGATGCAGGACCTCTGCTGCCACAGGTCCTGGTGGATGTGCCCTGCACGACGGACAGGCACTCTGTCATGGAGGAGGACAACAACATCTTCCACAGGAGACGAACCAAGGAGCGTCAGATGTTGCCCATGCTGCAGCTGCAGCTGCTGATGTGAGTGAGCTCGATGCTGTGTTTTGGTGCTATTTGTGTTACCATAGCAGCTCTCCATGGCCAGTGCTGACAACTGTCCTTACTTTATGTGTCCCCAACTGGGAAATGTGGAAACCATGTGTAGTTTTCTGGAATGGCAATAGTTGAACACATCACATCATAGTAAGTGTAAGAAGGTGCAAATGTTCTGTCAGATCAGATGTCCTTCCTGTCCCCAGCAGTAGCCATAGGAGGTAGGGAGGAGGGTCTAAACAACAGGATGGGTATAGCTTTGTCCCTTTGCGTGGTGATCTCCCAGGTCCCTGCAGTCAGCTCGGGGGGATTCCCGAGTGTCTGCATCTCCCAGCATGTGGGAGGATGTGGGGGTGCTTCGTCACCCCATTTTGCTGAGAAGGCTGGATGGGTTGACTGCGAACTGGGGCAGTAAGGAAACAGCACTTGAACTGCGAGAGCTCGTCCCCTCCACGTACTCTTACCCCATCCCCTTGGAGGTGAGTGCAGGATTCCTCCTGCCAGCTGCTCTGCAGCAGCGTCTCTCCCATGTTAAGTGCTTGATCAATTTAAGTATCTGTTTGACCCATATTGCCCTGGTCTAAACCAGTCCTCAAGTTGCAGTGGCAGTCAGACCGCAGAGCCTGTGGAGTCTGAGGAGGTTTGTCTCTCACCTGCTGTGAGTGAGTCACATGCTGGTTTGCCAGTTGTGGTGGGTGGGAATGCTGGTGTCCCACCCAGTCCTCTTCGTCCTGTGACGAGGTGTGTGTTCATCTCACCCGCAGGGCTGGGATCCTCGCTACCAAGCCGGGAGGAGAGGTGGTGTATTCTACGTGCTCCCTCTCCCCGTTGCAGAACGAGTACGTGATTGAGAGAGCGGTAGAAATTGCAGAAACTCAGTTTAACATCAGTATCCACATTGAGGACTTGAGCCACTTTCGGATGCTCTTCCAGGACACTTTTTCCTTCTTCTCGGATTGCCGGCTGGGGGAGCTCGTTCTGCCGCACCTCACAGCCAACTTCGGACCTATGTATTTCTGCAAATTACGTCGGATGTAGAAAGGACGACAGACTCTGTCTGCCAGCTGTCAGGAAATACCTCATATTTCCAGGGAAAGCAAAACTGCTTTATATTTATTTTTCTTTTAAAAAGTCTCAAAAGAAGTCTGCTTTTTTACTGCAGACATAGAGAATAAATGAGAAAGACCTGCTGTGGAATCTCCTGAATATTCATCTGTTTGAGGTATTTAATCTAGGAAAGAGAGAGGGGTCTTATCAGAGGGAGCGATTTATCCATCCGTCTCAGGACGGGGTAAACAGCCCTGTGCAGATGCTGCTGCCTCCCTCCTGCCTGAGCGCTTTGATCCTACAGGAGCAGGTTTGGGTTAACAAACACCATCTGGGCATCACAGCCTTTCTGTCTCAGGTCTCACTATCTGCATAATTGTGTTGCATCTGTCTCTGCTTATCTCCTACCTTCAGAAAGAGCAGGCTGAGGTCCTGAAATAAGAGGTTCCTAAAAACATCCCTGCTGTGAGGTTGGAAATGTGCTTGGGATGCTCAAGATCTGGTGGTGGAGAGAGATTGGGGCTGTGGAAGGGCCAGTGGCTGTTGCCATCCCTCATGGACATGAAAGCTGTGCTTGAAGGGGAAGGTGTGAACGCTCTCATGCCAGATGCCATTTAATGTCCAGTGGGAAGGTGTTGGTATGATTTTGAGTAATAACTGTGCATTCATAAGTCATAGTCATTGGTGAAGGATTACTGGAGTTTATGACAAGAGTTGCTCAATAGCTACATTTTTATTTTTGTGAGCAAAATACAGTGATGGAGAGAGTAGACATAGCCACCATATTCCTTACAGGGCAGCCCATGGTTACATCCATATGAAGTTACTCCAGTGCCAGCAAGAAAATACTACTGAGCTTTTGTAACCCTTTTCTCAGCATCACCCGGCTTCTGCAAGAGGCAGCGTAGATGAAAATGAGGGTGAACCCCCCTCCATGTCCATCTTCCCAGGAAGGTGCCGTTCATAGATTTGTCATCATTTGAACCAGCTGGTCCTGCCCTCTGCGTGGCATCTTGCTTCCTTGTGGGATCCGTGCTTAGTGGCAAGGAGGGGGGTCAGGGAACGGCTCTTCCTTCCTCCTTCCCTCCTCGCTGCAACCTTTGCACTGCCGATTGCAAAAGAAAAGCCGTGCAGCACTGTCCCTTTCACCTCCAGCCCTGCCGGCATGGGACCGTGGAGGCTATGCCACTCTCTTCTTCTGGCTGAGCGTCTCCACCTCCTTCATGAACCGGAGGCACAGCTCCTCCCGCCACGGCAATGCCACGCATCCCCCCCGGCCCCTGCCACAGCCTGCAGCAGGGACACGAGTGGTAGGATCAGACCTCCAGCAGCTTTTGGAAACTTGGTTTAGGCACGTGGTTCGTCCTGGAGAGTGGGAACGCTGGAGGCCAAGCCCTGCCCTTCAAGCAGCATTAGTGCTCTGGGGCTGAGGGACAGCTCTTGCAGATCTCATCATAGAAAGGGTTGCCAAAGCTTGGGCAGTGAGTTTGAGACACCCCCCAGCCGGCTCTGCTTTGAGCTGTCTTGCGGCTAGATCCCTTTTCCTTCAGCATCCTTGTTCCTGATCCGTGCTCCACTGACAGCCTGGTCCCAGTGAAGGCATCCCGGAGCAGGAGGAAAGTGCCATGCAGTGCTGTGGACTGTGGCTGTCACAAGGACCTACTCAAAGAAGCCTTGCTGCATGGCTCCTTTCTGGCTTTAGCCTATAATCTCCCCAAAGCCTATAGTGACTTACATTTTTGGGGGCTTGGGAGAAAAGGGATTTGCAAGGGGTATGTAAAGAAGTGGTGAATTTTTTTGTGCTATGCCCATGTTGACGGAGACATTTAGGAGGCCCTGATTTCAGTGAAACTATTACTTGAGCATCCATCAGCAGTCTGTGCTCCACCGGTTTCCGTGTTGCATACCTGTTTCAGTGTCCGGTCCCAGGGGTCATTGCAGCATCCTCGGTAATGCTTTAGCTCTTCCTCATCAGCTTCTGTCACCATGCTGACGGGTACGACCCCAGCGGGGAAGTTCAAGACGTTGTACAGCATCGTGGAGGAGATGGCAGCTGAGAGAAGAGAGAATGCAGGTAGTCACAGCCTCCTGTCTTCCTGCAAACTTAGACATTACACGTTCATTGAAGCCACTGAGCAACAGCTGCTGCTGGGAGGAGGGATTGCACAGGGCTGGTGATCTACAGGTCCAAGTTCTACTGGTGGCAAGAAACAACTGCCACCGTATCACTTCATCCATGTGTCTGTCTTCGATAGCTTCAGGGTAGTTTTTTCCTTCCTAATGCCCATGAAATGCTTAGGTGGGTGGTGAAGCTTCACAGTGGATCTTTCTGTCCAGTCTCAACTACTGTGGTCCTCTGCCCACCCGGGAAGGTCCTAGACTCACTTACTGAGGAGTTTCCCAGGGTATCCCAAGGTGAAGGCAGGCCCCAGGACAGGGCACAGCACAACATCCAGCTGGAGTTCCCTCCATCGGGCGATGAACTCAGTGCGGTATGCCTTGGGGAGGAGAGAGGAGATGAGATGGAGGTGACATCCATGCCTGGAGCATCTCAGCTTCTCCAGGGTACACACCAGGCTCTGGCATGGCCAAGGAGGCAGCAGCAGGCAGCTGTGCTCGAGGGAAGGGGCAGGGGAGCCTCTTCAGTATCTGCCTCCACAGCACGTGGCCAGGCTGTGGCCAGGAGCGGGACGGGTCCCTCTTTAGCTGTCCCCACTCCCAGGATAACCTTCGTTGTGCTGGGACTATCGAATGTGGGCACTTGGGCATGAGCACTGTTGGCAACCAGTGAAGCTGGGTTGACCCAAAAGCCCATCTACCCCACTTCTGTCTCTCTTTCGTGCCTGTCCCTCTGTCTTGTCTCCTCCCCAGCACCCCCCTGCAAACCCCTTTCCTAACTGATGACCCTCCGACCCAGCGCTTGCCATAAAGCCTCAACTTATAGCATGATGCCAGGGAGAAAAGTCCTCAAAACATACCTCTATTTGATGGTGATGATTCCACATCTCCTTCACTGACCTGCAAGTAGGAATTGTAGCAATGTTTTTAAGCTTTAGGAGGAGAGGGGAATCACTTAAATAATCCTCCAGGGTGATAAGACCTGGTGATTTTAGCGATTACTTAAAACAATATGTCTTTCACAATTTGTCTAAAGTTTCCTTTGGCTTTTGGCCAAGCAATTAAGAAACAAATGTCTGGAGATGGTAGAGAGAAATGTCTCATGTAAGCCTGGATGTAGCACTCATCTCCACCCCAGGTTTCCTACAGAACCTTATCCATCCAAGTCCCTCAGTCCTTTCAGGATAACACCAGGGGCAGTGCAACACAGGGGAGATGTGTTCTTAAAGGCTAAAGCCATGTCCAGGATGGAGGGACAGCCCCTCTGGGAGCAGGTCAGAGCCTGTCATGAATACAGTCCCTCCCACCATGGATACTTAGAGGAGAAGGTATGGTTCGTTTTCGTGGACATCCCTGGGGACAATGCCATCTTACCTGATTCCACCCAAGGCGCTCAGATAGTCAGCCAGGCGGGGAAACTGGAAAGGCAAGAGGTTGCTGTTAGGGACATGACATGGGGGTGCAGTAACTTGTGCCATCCCGGGAAATCCCCAGTCCCATCCTGCCTCTGTGCCTGGGGATGTTGCACTGAGGGTGAATGATGATTGAAAATGCTCCTCATGGTTCTGAATTTACTTTGCTTCCAACTTTTGGTTCTTGGTTCCCATTTTGTTTCTTACAGCTCAGTATTTCCGGCTCACAGAGGGATGCACAGACTTGAACCAAGTCACCTTTCATTATTTTTGATAAATCAGATATTTTTTAGTTTGATACCTCTCAGAAACAAGACTTCTGCAAGCACTTTGATTGCCTCCCACTCACCGCTACCTCTTTGTTCCTGTCAGCTGAGAAGAACCCAGCTGGACAGAGAGGCAGAGAAAATGGAGGCTGGAGGAGAGATGCCCTATAAAAGGATGCTAAGCTGGTGAAAGGGCTACAGTGAGGACTGGCCCTTATCAGTCACCAGAAGTCCCCATGAAGGGGTGATCCTTGGGAGGCCTCCAACACAAGGACAGAGCTTCAACCTTGAGTTTCCTCAGTAATTTCAATGCATATAAGACACTGGGCACTGCTAGGTCTAGCATTTGATGAACCACTTGCTGTGGGCTCTGCATTAATGTTTTACAGCTCTTGGCTGGTCCTTCTCTCCTTCCCCTTTGCACTGGATAAATCCCAGCTGGGGTCTAGAAAAGACCTTCCAAAGTGATAGCGTGTGCCTTGGCCCGGAATCCCAGTGTTTCTGGTTAAAGGTGTCTCTCAATGCCATCATGCGCTCAAGCATCCCCAGGCCTTGCTGACACCATTCTGCTTTGAGCCAGGGACTCACCAGATGTTTAAGAATCAGAGCCAGCAGCATCTTCCCCAGCCTGGGGATCTTGCAGCAATTCACCTGTGGTTTCAAGCTTGGATCTATAATATTGCCTGTGCTGAGAGACAAGAAGAAGAGGGGATCACGCCAGAGAAGGTATTTTGCCCTTTCTCAGAAACCTGACTATTTCGTGTTTGGGGTGGGAGAGATGGTCTCGTTTTGCCTGTGCGTTGTGCTCGTGGGCGTGGGGATGGAGGTGTTTCACAGCACTGCTGCCTGAGGGCTCCTACTTACAACAGGTCCAACCAAGCACAGCCTCCATCAGCAAAAAACGTCTTCAAGAACAGTTCAGTCATGACATAGTGGATCCGAGGTGGAGAAAAGGGCACCAGCTGCACCAAAACACAAGATTAAGAGGCAGCCTGGCGATGTGAATAATTTCCAATGCCTGGCTGTGGATATACTGCAAAGGCAGAGCAGCACCTCCCTGGGCTCCGCATGCCAACGGAGGCCCCAGTTCAACCCTTTACCAGCCCAGGCACCTCCCCATGGGATTATTCCTCCCTGACGGCCATTTGGCTCATCTCTCAGATCTCACCAGAGCTGTTTCTTCCTCCATCCTGCT